AAGCACAACAAAGGGATTAAAAGCATTCCATCTAAACCTGTTAAAGGGACATCGTCAGTTCACTTCCGATGAATTTAGCAATAAACCCGTAATAAGCTATCTTGCCATGCCACATGGGTAGGGGAGTTCTCTAGGTCCATGACAAGACGCTCATAACTTCTTCAATCATGACAGCAGAGTTTATAGCGTGATATGAGGTATCCAATCAAGGAACATGACTACAAAATTTTATCACTGGGCTGCGGTTTATACATGAAATTGAAATACCACTTAAGCTATTTTGTGACAACAAGTTAGTAGTCTTGTATTCAAATAACAATAAGAGTTTAACAAAGTCTAAATTTATAGACATCAAATTCCTAGTTGTTAAAGAAAAATTCAGAGTGGTCAGGTTACTATAGAATATATTGGAACAAACTCCATGATAGCAGATCCATTCACTAAAGGTCTATCACCCAACGTCTTTCATGAGCACACTGCTCACGGATGTTGTAAATTCATCACCCCTAAGGTCTTTCATGAGCACACCGCTCAAATGGTTGTTGTAAATTCTGATGATGTGCTAGTTTAGTGGGAGATTGTAAATTTGGATGTTGTCTTTTGACAAATAATTTTTAGTTGTGCACGTTTAAGTTTATTTCAGTTCATTTCAATAATAAAGTATTCAATCCAGTTTTCACTCTAATTAAAAAATATATATATTTAATCTCATGAGGTATTAAAGAACGAAATATGACCAGCTAGAAATGGACATGTTTGGATCACATTGCATGCAATTTTCATGCTACACATTCACATTTGATCTATGTCATTTGATTGTATTGATATACGTCACCATTGAAGGTTTAGTTATGATATTTATAGCGAAAATCGTTTTGATCCTATATAGATATAATTAATAGACGAGATTATTTGGAGATGCATTTGGTTATGATACCAAAAGTTTTTAGCTTATAAGGTTATACACATTTATAAGGTAACATATGTGATCCAAGTGGGAGATTGTTAAATTATTTAATTTGTCATGTGGATTGACATATGTAATTAATTGTGTATAAAAGCTACCTTAAAGTTTAGCCCACAATTAAGGTGTTTTAATAAAGAATTAAGTAATTGAATTTTGGGTATCTAAATAAAGTGTGTGTCAGATTTTATGTGTAGAGACCGGATTCATTAGGACTTATAGTTTACACCTATTAGAAGTCTAGTATCAATTAGAAAGTTGAAAACATCAGTAACTTCGAGTGTCACATAATTTCAAGTGCTTCTATTGCAAGATCTTGAGGGAAATGATGGAAAATAAGTGACATTATCGTTTTAAGGAAAAAGAGTCAAAATCTTGACTCAACCAAAATTGCATTTCTTATTCCTACATTTCTTAGTTTCGATAAGTTGAAATTTCTATCCGAATTTTTGTACATAAAAAAGCTAATAGTTGGTATATAAATGTTTGGACGATTTCTACCCACACAATACAAGTACATAATGTCACAAGTGAACTAACAAATTAAGCCCTTATTTGAGAGAGAAAATGCATTGTTGAATAGTAATTTTTGGATAATTATGTGGTTAAAAATTAAGAATTTTTTTTCGATTTTTGTGTAATATTATTTATTGAAGAATACATGATTGAAGGTGAGTTCTGAAAAATAAATTTTCAAAACAATGGGGTTCAAACAACCC